TGACTTTCACAAAACTTCTATCGAAGCTTATCATAGCAACCTCAACAAAAGGTGTTATAAGGGAATTCCATCTCTCTACTTAGTTTTAACAGTATCTTTCTTAAATGTTCGCATCTTGTTTCCATCAAAAACCATCACTGAAGTCTTGAAACTCCTGATATCTTCCTTTTAGAAAATTTATCTTTCCAATTATATAAAATGGAAGAATTTAAGTGCCTGGAAGAGACAGAGCAACACTTTCCAAAATTGGAATTTATCCAGTGGATTAAACACACACTCGTTAAGTAATATCCATTCCACAAAAAATACTCCCAGCAAAAAACAAAGGATAACTTGTTTTCCCAAACTGAACAAAATTGAAGTTATAAACGATTAAATAAACAGAAAAGGTTAAGTTATCACGAATTTTCAAACTAAATTCAGCAACGCCAACAGATAATAAACACAGCAAGAGGTGTATTTGGGAAACAAAAGAATACCAAAAACGCTTACGCATTAAAGACCATCAATACCGACAGCACACTGATTTTTAATAGATGGATAACAAAAATCATTACAAAACAATACTATCGAAGAGGCTGCACTATGAGTCCAGATGGAAATTTGACAGCTGACCTTATCGCCTCTCTCGATGTACTTGACAGCAACAAGCTCCTGGGTGACCTTGTCTCTCATAAGCCGGGCAACCCCAAAATTCCCTGAACCGATATCTCGGACAAAATCGTACCGGTCACTGTCGTGCATGATCGGCATCTCCATGCCAAGCCCCGCAGTCATCACCGACCGATCCATTCTCCTAAGTTTCCGGCTATGCCCTGACAAGAACCAAAACTGGCGATGACATCAGAGAGCCGGAGCTAGTGCCGGCTTGGCTCAATCAATAATCAAAACAGAGCCGCCAGCGGCCAAGCACTGGACAAAGATCCTCGAGTCAGTCCAATAGATCGATAGAGACTAAGCAACTCGCAGACAGGACTGAATGAGTTGCAAGAGGATGTTAAAAGCCGATGAAGAGTGTGCGCCGTAGTCGTAACCGAAATTTCACATGAATATTTTCTGGTATGATCAGCGACATGCGGTTTCTGTTTCTGCAACAGGGAAGGGATGCGGGACGTTTTGAGGAGGAGGAAAAGGATAATGGCAAGACAAGAGCGGCGCCGTTAACATCAGCCAATCCAGTGTACAAAACGACGGCGTTTGTAAGTAACTAAGCTCCATGGCTGGCTTTGCTTGTCTTGCTATGCTGCATCTTGTCGATCAAATTGACCTTTTACCTTTTTTTTAAATATTCTTAATGGGATAATTTTGTCGAGTCACGTGATTGGTGCGAGGGAGAGGATAATTATCTGCGGCGCAGTCCATCATAAGGTGATGTTGCATCCAGTCACGTTGGGGTTCGCGCGTCAACACCTTGACTTTCGTGACAAACAGATGAGGGTAAAATGGATATTAGACTGATTATTAGGGGTTTTTTCGTCAATTAAGTAACATGAAGTCTATCCATTCACACACAGCCTTTTGAGCGAAGGAAAGTTTCCGACTTTCTAGCGACACTGTGCCAAACAAGGAAGAGAGGACATAATGGTGTATGTGTTGTAGAAAGCAAAACCGATTCACACCGTTGATTTTGTTGACTTTTATGATTAGTTAATTATTAGATTTAAGTTATTTTTTATTTATTTTTAATAAAAATTTATATATTTAATTAATTAAGTAACATCTATATATTTATATAATAATTATAATACAACTTTCTAATTAATATAAAAAAAAAATTGTATAATTTCACTCACAGTTATAATTTCTTATAAAAAAAAAAGAAACATTTATGAGATTTTAAGCCTTTTTTTTTAGATAATTTTTCTATTAATTATTCTTGAACCAACAAATATAATTATAAAATAAACTTGTCCCTCTCTATCTTTCTACAATTTATAGAAACTTACAATTTGCTTCTAAAAATGTGTATCAACTTTTTATATTTACATTAAAAAAAATGCTTCAATTTTTATATTAGCTTAAATTATATGTTAATTAACTCCATAAAGAAAACTATTTGAGGTAAATAATATAAATTAAAATTTTTATTTAATTTAAATATAGCGTAAGAAAAGATAAATGGGTCTGATAAGAGATACATTATAATTCTAAGAAATCAATATACTAATGCGTATAAATTAATATAGAGAGAAATTATCAAAATATTGTTGATTATACAAAATTAAAAAAATTGATTGGATATTTTTGTCTAAGCTTAAAGTTTTAGATGTTTGATAATCTTAAACAAATTTTTTAATTATGTGACGAGAGAACAAAAATTAATGACGAACTAAATATTGTTATAATACAATATTTTAAATATTCATTATAAACACAAAATAAGGAATGAGAGCTACATAATATATATGGTCCAAATACATTCAATAAACGAGTTCATCGTATATAATTTGTCCGAGTACAATGCATACATATAGAGGCTCAAATTAGTATCATAACAAACGTGCGAGTACTAATTGACTCAAACAATTTTTTTTTTTTTTAACGGTTGAAGATATTTTAAAAATAATTTTAACTTTTTACTCAAATTAACCCAAAAAAAAGTAAAGTCACATTAATTTCTTTTTTTAAAATTTTTACATTTTGGAAATCAATAATTTCAAAACTCATCAAGGATATAATTAAAAAAAAAAATCAACATTAATTTTGTGCATACCCTAGTAGAAAAGATTTTTTGTATTCTCTTGTGAACTTAATAACCAAATTATAGATTTTTCGAACATATTAACCTAATTATATATTTATAAAATGTATAATATAATTCATAAAATAGACAAGTAATAGGAGGAAAGTTTTAAGAATTTATTTAGGAATTATATATATTTCTATGTGAATTATTAATTTTTTGATACATATATGTCTTTACTTATAAAAATTTAATTTCATAATTACAATTAAAAAAATTTAAAATTATAATTCATTTGAATCTTTAAAATTATTCTTTTAAAAAAATAATTTATACCTAACATCGATATTATAATAGAGAAATAAAACTAAAAACTGCTCATAATAAAAAATAAGTCATGCAAACGAATAAAAATACATTAGTATATCGCATAATACCTCGATAAATTGTAAACATGTATAATTATTAATTATTAATACAAAAATGTATAATTATTAATTAATAATACCTTTGCTTTGTTGGTTTTGCTATATATATATATATATTATGGGGTCGTTTAGTTTATAAGTATATTTGAGAATTATAAGCTTATCAAAATATTTGTGAGCCACTGAAAAATATGTTTAATC